CCAAGGCTAGGGGGCTCTTCCTCAGTCTGCGTCCCCGTCTCTACTGAGCGGCGCAGGGGGCGGTCCCGGCTGCTGCGGCCGCCGCGGGGGCCCAAGGGAAAGGGGCCGCACTGGAAGGCGAGTCCGACTGGTCTCGTCGTTCCAGCTGGCCCCGCGACCCCCGCCTTCGGCGCCAAGAGGGCACTGGCGGCGAGGGCTCACCCGCGGCAGCTGACCGGGGGCGGGTCCGGGCGGCTCCCTCCGGAGGACCGGCAATGGGGAGTGACTGCTCCATGGGGAACTCGTCACCCCCCAACTCCCCGCCACTGGCGAAGACCTCCGGGACGTCAGGATTCTCCGCCCGGATCTGGCCGACGAGGACGCGGTCGCAGTGTCAGTGGTGCCGATCCCGCATGTCCGAGCGGTAGAAGCAGCGGCCACACCCCTGCTCACAGGTATAGGGCCGGGTGGCGAACAGCTCCGGACACGCCGACATCAGGTGTCGCCACAAGGTGGTCCGCTGGCGGAATTCTCGCTGACAGTGGGGGCAGGCCAACCGGTCCATCCCGGGGAGCGAAACAGAGGGAGATTCAGGAGTTAGCGTGGAGCAGAATCGCGCCGGGCGCCGAACCCACCGCCCCTTGCGAGCCACGCGCGCTTCCCCCGCCTTCGGTTCGTACGGCGATGGCTCCGCCGGCGCGCTGCCTCCCTGGCTGCTTATGTCTGAGTTCTCCCCGCTCGACACGCCGCCGCTCCGGCCCAGGCGTCCCGACTTCGCCCCGTCAATAGGTTCCAGTGCTGTCCCTTCGTCAACGGGGAGAGACGGCCCCCGCGGGCAGGACGGAGGGCCGGATCCGCTGGCTCCTTGCCCCCCTGCCCGCGCTGGCGCCTCCTCAGCCAAGGCTCCGCGGGCTGCACGCTCCCACCATCCAAGCTGCACGTCGACCAGGTAGCGCTTGAGCCGATTGCGATGCACGATCTGAGCCTTCGCTCGGGCGGGACGCTGCACTTTGTAGGTCACGTCGTTGAGGCGTTGTAGCACCGCAAAGGGTCCGTCCCACCACCGCTGCAGCTTGGGGGTGCGGCCGACCTTCTTCTTTGGGGTGAACAGCCAAAAAGCCTGGCCGGGCTAGAACCCGCCCGCCTGGGCGCGACGGTCATACTGCTGCTTCTGGTAGCTCTGACTCCGCCTCAGGTGTCGCTGGGCAAACTCGTGGGCCCGCGTGGGCTTCGCTCTCAGCTCGTCGACGTAATTTAGTGCCTCGGTAGTCTCTGTCCGTTCCTCCAGTGACCCCACAACGACGTCCAGGGGAAGTCCCACCTCCCTCCCGAGCATGAGCATATTCGGGGTGAGCCTGGTGCTATCGTGCTGGGAGGAGCGGTAGGCCATCAGGACGTAGGGAAGATGTTCGTCCCAGTCGTCCTGATTCTCATCCACAAACATGCCCAGCATGGTCTTCACGGTACGATTGAACCGTTCGACCATGCCGTCGGACTGGGGGTGGAACGGAGTCGTCCTGGTCTTGTGGATGCCCAACAGTTGGCAGACCCCACGGAACAGGCCCGCCTCGAACTCCCGCCCTTGATCCGTGTGGATCTCGAGGGGTGTCCCGAAGCGCGTGATCACCTGCTCCACGAGGGTCTTGGCCACAGTCTCGGCCGTCTGATCCGGAGGGGGAAACGCCTCCACCCACTTCGTGAAATAGTCCGCCACTACCATTATGCTGGTGTTTCCGGCCTTGGTTCGGGGCAGGCGTCCGGTAAGGGGGGGACCCGCCTCATGTGCATATGTGTGGATTTGAGGGGGATCTACCTCACACAGACACGTGCAGATCCCCAAGTGGGGATCCACCTCATGAGTTTGTACGCAGATCCTAGGGGGATCCGCTTCATACAGATGTGTGCAGATCCCCGGGTGGGGATCCGCCTCATGTGTCTGTGCGTGGATCCAAGGAGGATCCGCCTTGCATGTCTGTGCGCGGATCCAGGGGGGATCCGCCTCGCGTGTCCGTGCGCGGATCCGGGCGGGATCCGCCTCGCATAGACACATGTGGATCCCCGAGTGGGGATCCGCCTCATACAGATGCGGGCGAATCCCCGCGCGGGGTCCGCCCGAATCGCACCACCCGTCGCAGTTTCGCCGCGCGGGGGCGTCCGCATCTCACTATTTTTCTCACACGCTCCAGCTAGCCCGTCGCGAAACCCCCTCCCGAGGACCGTGGCCTCACAGCACTCCAGGCGGTACGCCACGCCAGCCACGTCCCCGGCGCTCGAGGGCGTCCTGAAATCTGCAACGGGCCCGCTAGCTCCCATCAATTCGCACCGGGGTCCCGCCTCCATGGCCGCCGCCACGGCCCGGCTGCGCTCCGAGAGGGACGCTTCCTGAGCCACCGCGGCGCCACAAGAGGGTGCCCCCATACTATAACCAGTTTTACCAGCTTCAGCTACCTCGCGCCGAGGCTCCAACCCCGCGGCAGCCGCCCAGCCGCGCTCCGAGAGGACCGTTTTTCGGCCACGACGGTA